TTATTTTTATTTTATGTGTATGAGTATATTGCCTGCATGTATGTGAGTGCACCTGTGTCATGCAATGCCACGGAGGTCAGAAGAGGGCTTTGGATTCCCCTGGAACTGGAGTTAAGGACAGTTCATAGCCGCCGTGTGGGTGCTGGCAACTGAACCCAGGTCCTCTGCAAGAGCAGTCAGTGCTCTTAACCACTGAGCCATCTCTCCAGCCCCAGTAAATTGATCATTTATAAGTTGATGAATGGTCTTAATCAGTTAAACACATATGTCACAAATTTTAATGTCATGGGTTGAAGTATTAGGATTAAAATTCTGATATGGCTCATAGGTGAACCTAAATAAAATATGGTCAGTCTGAATAAAGCACACAGTTCTCTGGGCATTTAATGTCCCAAGTGGAGTCTGGAAGGAACCTGATCCTGCAGAGCCAGAGTGCTTACATCAGTTTCTAAGAAGACCTACATTTATTCCTATTATTTTGCTTCCAGTCCATTTCTTGTTCAAATAAAAATTCCAACCAGACAAACAAGCAGTGTGGCTGGAGGATTTCACATGAGCAGAGGCCTGGGCTGCTCCTAAGGTCACCAGAGTCCCTACTTTTCTCAAATCTGGTCACACCATTCCAGGAATTCCTTATATTCATGGTTTTGAAGTCTAGAAATCACGACTGAGTAGTTTCCATTCTTAAAGAATTACCCAGGATTCCAGAGGAATAGCTTGCATGACTAATTAAGACAAAAAATTCCTTGAAAATAAAAACAAAAACACCTCAGGAACTATTAGAGCTATATAGTAAAGGCAACTAAAAAGTGTCTTCTAGCATCTAAAGTGTGTGTGTAAGCGGGTGCCTTGTTTTATTTTGAAAATCCACCTTTATTGTATATAATTAATCAGCAGAGTGACAGTCTGCCCAGAAATAAAGCTTATCAAAACAGCCACTCTGTTGGAAATAGACAGGAAAACAAGCCCTATTGTACTAGTTCATGGAGAGATGGCCAAACAGAGAAAATACTGTCATGCCATGGCTTTAAGAGAGCCAGGCATTTCAAAGGCAGCAGAGTGGGAGTTATAGTATGCTTTGATTTTCCTATTCACCAAGAGGCCCATTGTGTCTGAGCAGACATGTCATCAGTGAGCTCCCTCTGTAGTCTGGATGGCAGACTTTAGGGCCATGGGGGGGGGGGCATTG